ACCCCAGAGTTTAAGGGACATTATGACAGTGTGTGCTTTATTTTCTCACTGGATACATGAAGGTTGTGCATGAACTAATTTTGTTTGGTGTGCTTTTTTTATAACAAAAATTCATAAAATACTATATTTTTTATTGTTTTAAAGCCAGGTCTCTGTGAATAACAACAAGTCAAAAGAAATCTATTAACATAGAAGCATCTTTTTATATTCTTTAACCATTTACCACAAACTGGACTATAAATTCTTTCATGATGCACCAAAATAATCCATGTTTGTCACCACTAGTTTCCCTTTAACAGCATTACACTAAAAATGGGAAGTCTCCCTCAGGGACCACTAAAGCACCTCCTACCCTGATGATTTGGCATATGTTGCATCATCACCCGTCAGTGACCGTGTTTCTTTAAGAACTGCATGTTCTTAAAGTTTGTAGTTAGTCACAATCAAGAGGAACTTACCACACTAAAACTTCGTAGAAGTAAAACATGCAACTCTCTGGAGAAAAGGAAGTTTAAAGACCTTTGTCCTGACACGTTAAGGCACTGAGTTCAGAACGAGAATCTGTGTAGTAAGGAGTTTTAACAGTTACTGTTTAAGAAGTTACAAACATGTGTTTGGTTTTCATGAGAAGTCATTTAGAAAATCACAATAAATGGCTTGTGAAATGAAAAACAGTGGCGCTTTCTTTGAAGTGGTGGTTCTCAGGGGCAGCGCTTTGAATCTTGTGATAAAAATCCCAGATTAACATCATTTTCGCACACTTATGACTTTTTTCCTTTGTTTTCTTAGATTTACTAACTCAGAAATACACAAATGGTTGGAGTACTTAAAGCAAATAGTCTTTTTTCTGTGTTTATTGACTGAGTTTCTGTGCTCTCATCAGGCTGTGCATCAGGACCCTAGCTGCTGTGCAGCCCTCTGCAGCTCTGCTGTTTTCTGTTGCTTTTCCATGTTTCCATTCTTGTTTTGTTATATTGTTAGAGGGGGAAGTGTGCGCTGGTCTGATTAGCATCACTGTTTCCTCCTTTCCCATAACCCCCCAGACCTCAGCAGGCTGCCTGTTTACTTTTAGACATAAAAAATGGGCCTGCGCCCGTGAGGACGTGCCCCTCATCAGCAGCAAAGCCACTACCCCCCCCACCCCCTAACAACCCAAAGCTCCACGTCTCAGATACTCCTCCCCTCTTCTCCTCCCACTATCCCTGTCCCAGCCTTATCCTTCTCCTTATCTGTCCTCTCTCCACCCCCGTCCCCCTCCTCTTCCAACTGTCCAGCTGTCACATCACATCAAATAAAACACAGGCCAATGGTCCCCGGGTGCCAGACCACAGCTGTGTCTGTGTGCGCTAAGTGTGAGTGCACGTTTAAACGTGCAGTGAACTCATGAGCACCTGGGACTGGATGTGTGTGTGTGTGTGTGTGTGTGTGTGTGTGTGTGTGTGTGTGTGTGTGTGTGTGTGTGTGTGTGTGTGTGTGTGTGTGTGTGTGTGTGCGTGCGTGCGTGTGTGTGTGTGTGCGTGCGTGCGTGCGTGTGTGTGTGTGTGTGTGTGTGTGTGTGTGTGTGTGTGTGTGTGTGTGTGTGTGTTTTGCTGATTGGAAGGATGCTGTAACACAATACTCGCCTGAGTGTGGGGTGTGAATTTAATGAATGAACGCACAGAGTGTGCATCACTGCAGGATGTTGGAGGAGTGGACGTGGGATATCTGTGCCTGGATTTCAATGAGACTGCACAGATGAACTCATCTTCTTCTTTTTTTTCTCCCATACGTGTAAGTGTGGAGATTTATTTCCAGAGTGGGGCTTTGGAGGCAGGTCCTGTTGTTGCTAGTGCTGGACTGTGAGGGGTTAGAGCTGTTTTAGTGTAAACACCAGCATGGCATGGCTGTCGTCAGGAAGCTGTGTGTGTGACATTGGGCTCAGGACCAAGCATGCAATGGTTCTTTACCATCCAACATCCCCACTTCGCATCTGCTAGGCATTTCTTTTCTCACATTGTCGTCCTTCATTTTTAAAAAACTCAATCAAAGAAAAAGGGTGACATTAACCAAAAAAACCTTGATGAAAGACAAAAAGATAAATAAATTGTATGAATTTTATGTGAAAAAGCAGGTTTGGTTTCAGAGTTCTGTTGAATGCCTTCAAAGATTAGATTAGAAAAAAAAAACAAATACAATTTTAAGTACCTCCAGTGCATAACCTTGAAACTGCTGTTGTTGGTGAAAATGTCACAAAACGACTAAATCTATTAATATTAGAAAGTCATTTTTTGCATTTCATTATATTAAAATTTGAGAATATTGGATGATTGTAATTGATTAATCACACAAAACACCTTTCTTCTTAAATCACAAATACATGAACAGGTGTAGGTACATATTGTTGTGATTTCAGAGTTGAAATCTGTAAACTCCGGTTATTGGGACTTTAAAATTTGCTATTTGTGCAAAAATAAAGCACGTATACGGTGCACATAAAAATCTAGCTCCATTATTTGCAATTATGACCTCCATGTGCTCTGTGTTTGATCTCTGACTACCAACCCATCCATCCTTCCATCCATTGTCTGAACCCGCTTGTCCACGCAGGGTCGCGGGGGGGGCTGGTGCCTATCTCCAGTAGTCAACGGGCAATCAGGCGGGGTACACCCTGGACAGAGAGCCAGTCCATCGCAGGGCAACACAGAGACACACAGGACAAACAATCATGCACACACACACACACACACACACACACACACACACCCACACACCTAAGGACAATTTAGATAGACCAATCAACCTAAAAGTCATGTTTTTGGACTGTGGGAGGAAGCCGGAGTACCCGGAGAGAACCCACGCATGCACAGGGAGAACATGCAAACTCCATGCAGAAAGATCCCAGGCTGGGAAGCGAACCCAGGACTTTCTTGCTGCAAGGCAACAGCTCTAACCACTGCGCAGCCCTGACTACCAACCCTTCTAATAAAACCTTTTTCACACTGACTTCCTGTCTTAACAATTATGCTCTCTAGCAGCTCTTCTCTGCTTTTATAGCAGAGGTCTGTCTGTATTTTGATCGTCTGACTGATTTATCTTGTAGATAAATAGGCTTAACTAGTTGGTATGTTTGTATGTTTTAAACTGCCTGAATATTTATTTGATAAATGGCTGAATTTATGAATTATAAAGTTAATTTAAGTGCATAAAGTTTGCTGTTGTGAGTTTTAAATATGGACAAAATAAAATATGAACACCAGATAGTAAACAATATATCATTTTAAACTACTGTGTGAATGATTTTTCCCCCTTAATCAAGCAGCCTTCAATAATAAACTACACAACAGGAGGGTGTCAACTCTAATCGTGTAAAGCAGCCACATCTAGCTGCTGCTGCCATTTGTTCCTGCGAAGACGAAAATGATTTATTTGTAAATAATGAAAAGTTGACACATACAGGAGAAACTCAAATAATTAGAATAGTGTGATTTTTATTTCAGAAATCCAACTTAGACCGAGAGACCACCTAAAGGCTCAGGAACACTTTGCAGGTGCTTTGGATTCATTAGCTGATTAGAGTGTGACACTTTGAGTCTTCACAATATTTTTATTGTCTGAGATTTAGAGTGTGGGATTTTCATAAGCTGTAAACCATAATCGCCGCAACTATAACAAATTAAAGTCAATTTCGTTTCACACCTGTGCAATGATAGTAAAATGATCTTGAATCTTGAATTAAAGGGTTCAATATCTGGCTTTGTGTGTAACGAGTCTGCCTCAATTCTTAAATTTGAACTACTGAAATAAATTAACTTTTGCACCTTAATCTGATTTTTCCAGTTTCACCTGCATATAGCGGTTTAAGAACCAGTGTGACAATTTGGGGGCTGGAGTTGTTTTAAGAAGATCTAAATTTCTCCAAACTGAGGTTGTTCAAAAAGTAATCAAGCAACCGTTGAGATAAAGAGTCAAACATCAAAGGATCCAACCCTCAGTTTAGTGAGAAACCGTGTTCAGTTTGAGAGAAATGAGTCGGCCCAACGACTCCGGGCGCAGAGAGTGTGTCAGAGGGTTTTTCTGCTGCTTTTTGAGGTTTGCAGCAACTCATAACAACCTACGCTCCTAGCACAGAAACCTCAGCAACTCTCTATGGCAAGATGCAAATGACTCTAACGTCTCCAGGTGTCTAAAAAAGCTGAAATGTGTTCTGCTTGGATTAGAGATGCAAACAAGAAAAAGAAAACACATCGGGTCAGGGCTCGGTCATTTTTTTCCACCCAGCATCAGCGTTTGCGTCAACAGTTTAGAGCTGGGAGGAATGAAGCAAGGGCCAGAGAGGAGTGTGTGTCTCTGGCAACAAACATCAGCAAATCCCATCAAATCCAAACTCCCTCTCATGCAACTCACAAATATGCTCACTTTGCTTCCACCCCCCTCCCTTCACCACCACCACCACCTCTCCTGAGACCAAGAGGCTTGGGAAAAAGATGGTCGCCCTTTGGCCCCTTCTGTCTTGCCCCCTGCATCCAGCTCAGGGAGGTGACGGAAGAAAGCTTGTGTCCCCCAGCACTCCCCCACCCTCCTTCCTTGGCATGCATCCCAGTCCTCCAGCATCAATCACTCTTGTCAACTAAAGAAGGCCAGAGTCAAACGCGTGCAAGGCAAATGCACTGGAAAGAATGTTCCAGCTTTAAACACAGAGAAAAAAAACTAATATGAGAAAACAATGAAATAAAAACTAGAACCAGAGAGCAGGAGGCAGAGGAATTCAGGGTATTCAGTTGTCCCCAGAAACACACTGGGAGGAGGGAGAATGGAACTGGAGGGACTGGGGGAGTGATATCTGGTAAAGGCATTGGCCTCAGGGTCAGCATCAGCAGCAGCTCCAGAAATAACAGTGCAGGCAAGTACTGTGTGTGTGTGTGTGTGTGTGTGTGTGTGTGTGTGTGTGTGTGTGTGTGTGTGTGTGTGTGCATGCATGCGTGTGTGTATGTGTATGCGCATGCATGTGTGTGTGTGTGTGTGTGTGTGTGTGTGTGTGTGTGTGTATGTGCATGCATGTGTGTGTGTATGTGTATGCGCATGCATGTGTGTGTGTGTATGTGCATGCATGTGTGTGTGTGTGTGTGTGTGTGTGTGTGTGTGTGTGTGTGTGTGTGTGTGTGTGTGTGTGTGTGTGTGTGTGTTATTTTAGAAGATAAATCTGTTCACCTACATGGGGACCCAGTTTAATAACACAGACAACAACATGAAGCAACAAATTTGACTTCAGGGCCTAAATTAGGATGATGACTGATGCCAAGGCGGAAGTTTGGAGGAAATTCCACGAAAATCATAAAGTTCATTCAAGCATCTTTTGAAATGGAGTTCAGTGAAAGTTGCACATTTTACTGAGAACAATAAATTCAGCGTGATGCATAAACAGATCTAAAAACCAGAGAAAATCATTCAGAGAGCTGTAACAGCCAGGGTTTTTGGTTGCTGGTGTTTAAAACCCTTTGGAAGGAGAGAGTGTTCTTAAATATGCTCAAAATTTTTATTTACTGCATGATTTGATTGAAACCACAACCTGTTTGATTTCAAGTGTGTTTCCTTCCTACCTGTAGGACACATGTCACGGCCGTCCGGTACCTCCTGCAGGGGTATGTCGTGGGGGTGAAGGGGCTGTGAGGGGTAAAACTGCTGCTGGGGGTGAACCACACCTGGGAGGTGGGTCTCAGGGCCCACTGCAACTCCTCCAGCTGGTCTCTGTAAAGAAAAAGCAGTTCAGTCGCAGGAGCGCACAAGTTCCACAGTTAAAGTGCTTCTGCACATCTTTACTGCGGGGTGATTTATCTGCATAGGGTGGCTGTTGAAAAGCAATTTTCCACAGCCCATAGATGTGAGAGTCATACTAATGTACGTGTTTTAGCTCCTTCAATTAAAACCCGAGAACACTTAGGCCATTAAACATCAGCTTGTATCTCAGGAGTTAGCTGGAAGAAACAGAACAGCTTTATATTTATGGGACTCAGAGATAAAAATGGTTGCCACTAAAACCCGAATGGAGGGCAAAATGAAGACCTCTGGAAGAAATTCAAGCTTTACATTAAACAATTTAAATACATTGACTGAAAATGACATAAAAAGTGTGGCAGTGCAGCTTTAGATGCTTTTTGATTTATTTAGTTATTTAATGCAACAACCTCTTCAAAAGTTTTGAAAATCAAATGTGGGAGTTCTTTTATTGCCGAATGAATAAACTAAACAGTTCATCAGATTTGGCAAAGAGTACAACCTTGGGTTTTAACTACCACTTGTATGATTTTATTGTTTTTCTGCACAAATAAGCCTTGCAGCTAAATGAGCGTCGTCGTACGGTTCTTTTCCTCTTCCTCTGTGCTGCTAATCACAGAAATGTTGCCGCTAAAGGCTGCACTAGTGAAGGAACATCTGAACTCAGCGCTTGAGAGTAGAGGTATAACATCTGATGTGAGGCAGGGGGAAAGGGCCGTTCACTAGGCCTCTTCTAGCATTTTAGTTTTCATGTGTCAACAAAAATTAGGAGATGGTGTTTGACGTCTGTGTAACAATCTAGTGAAGTGACAGCTCTGCTGTGCTTTTAGCTGCATGCGTGTTAGACTGGTCATTAATGCTACAAAGTCTTTATAAATCTCAGGATTTTTGCAAACTTCCTTCAAACGCAGAAATTGTTTAATGTTTTATCAGCAGCATAAAAAATAAAAACACCAAGAGCAAAGTTGACTTTTTGAATGTCACGTGTCATCCGTGCATCAGCCTGGTAGAATGAGTGACTGCCAATCTGATACACAGCGCCACTTTGGCCTTGGCAGCGTTTATCAGTAGCTGTCCAGCTTCACGGATGGCTGATGTGGTGAGAGAATCAGGGAGATCAACTCTTAGGGTTCTGCAGAGATCCGCATGGAGAGCAGCGAGAGGGGAAGGTTAGAGAGGCATGGTGGAGCTATAAGAATGAAGATAGCAAACAGCGCCGTATCTTCTGATCGGTTTGAGTGTGGAACAACCTGAACGTGTAAACCAGTCAACAGTTTGGAGGTGATTCCTGGCAGCTGTAGGATCATTTCTGCATCTGATCTTTATCACCTTCATCAGCTCATGTAATAAATATTTCTGTAACATTAAAATCCTCTCCATTAGTTTCACTTACATCAGATTTGTGACTTATTTAATTAAAGCTTTTTATACTTTTTTAGCTTGTTGTGTGCATTAACGTTTCCAGATTCACACAAACGGTTGCACTAGAGGAACTCAGCTTGCTTCAGTTTAAGATGGAAATTCCCAGTTTTCAGTTCCTGCTGCTGAAAAAGCTAAAGGTGGGAATTGTCTGACTTGTTGATGCCACAATTCCCATCTCTGGAGCATTAAATCAGAGAGAGAAACCTTTATTTTTTCCCTACTTCACATGTCAGTGAAACATGGAGGGAAAGTGCAGCATCTCTATAACTTATCAGGATTCAGCAATTAGTGCTGACTCAGTCAGAAGTGTTTGGTTACGTCTGAGAGACGAGGCAGTGGACAGCGCTGTGGACCGATTGCTGCATTCTTATGGTCACTGGCTAGTGTCTCACTGTCCAAATGTTGAAACAGCATACTGAGCACACACAAGGAGGGAAAACAGGGAAAATGGTCTTTGGTACATCAAGCTAATCTCGTCGTTGTTGTCTTCCTCCGCTTTTCCGGATCCGGGTGGCGGGGGCAGCATCCCAACTAGGAAGCTCCAGACCGTCCTCTCCCCGGCCACCTCCACCAGCTCCTCCGGCAGGACCCCAAGGCGTTCTCGTACCAGATTGGAGATGTAACCTCTCCAACGTGTCCTGGGTTGACCCGGGGGCCTCCTGCCAGCAGGACGTGCCCGAAACACCTCCCCAGAGAGGCGTCCAGGAGGCATCCTGACCAGATGCCCAAACCACCTCAACTGGCTCCTTTTGATCCGGAGGAGCAGCGGTTCTACTCCGAGTCCCTCCCGAAAGTCCGAGCTCCTCACCCTATCTCTAAAGCTGAGCCCGGCCACCTGACGGAGGAAACTCATTTCGGCCGCTTGTATCCACAATCTCGTTCTTTCGGTCATTACCCAAAGCTCGTGACCATAGGTGAGGATTGGGACGTAGATCGGCCGGTAAATCGAGAGCCTGGCTTTCTGGCTCAGCTCCCTCTTCACCACGACAGATCGGCTCAGCGCCCGCATCACTGCAGATGCTGAACCAATCCGCCTGTCGATCTCCCGATCCCTCCTACCCTCACTCATGAACAAGACCCCGAGATACTTAAACTCCTCCACTTGAGGTAGGACCTCTCCCCCGACCCGGAGTTGGCAAGCCACCCTTTTCCGGTCGAGAACCATGGTCTCAGATTTGGAGGTGCTGATCCTCATCCCAAGCTAATCTCATAAATTAATATATTATTTTGCTACTCGTAACATTTCGGACACATTAAACTAATGCAGCAGCCTGACATGGAGATAAAGTCAACATCTTAGTGTTAAACGCTCTCTGGAAGTTTCCATAGGATTAGAAACCTCATGCAGTGAATTTATCTGTTATATGTTTGGCTTCTTTCTGGTTTATTGACAGTTTTCCTTCTCATCAGCTGAGTTTCATCAATTATTAGGGAGGATTGCAAATGAGAAAACGTTCTGAACCATGAAGCAGCATTTATTCAGGTCAGGCAGAGATAGTAACTCAACCACTTAGATCTTCATGCAGTCTGAATGTTATATTTTCGTCTTCGTCTTCGTCTTCGTCTTCCTCCGCTTATCCGGGTCCGGGTCGCGGGGGCAGCATCCCAACTAGGGAGCTCCAGGCCGTCCTCTCCCCGGCCTTGTCCACCAGCTCCTCCGGCAGGACCCCAAGGCGTTCCCGGACCAGATTGGAGATGTAACCTCTCCAACGTGTCCTGGGTCGACCTGGGGGCCTTCTGCCGGCAGGACATGCCCGAAACACCTCCCCGGGGAGGCGTCCAGGAGGCATCCTGACCAGATGCCCAAACCACCTCAACTGGCTCCTTTCGATCCGGAGGAGCAGCGGTTCTACTCCGAGTCCCTCCCGAATGTCCGAGCTCCTCACCCTATCTCTAAGGCTGAGCCCGGCCACCCTACGGAGGAAACTCATTTCGGCCGCTTGTATCCGCGATCTCGTTCTTTCGGTCATTACCCAAAGCTCATGACCATAGGTGAGGATTGGGACGTAGATCGACCGGTAAATCGAGAGCCTGGCTTTCTGGCTCAGCTCCCTCTTCCCCACGACAGATCGGCTCAGTGTCCGCATCACTGCAGACGCCGAACCAATCCGCCTGTCGATCTCCCGATCCCTCCTACCCTCACTCGTGAACAAGACCCCGAGATACTTAAACTCCTTCACTTGAGGTAGGACCTCTCCCCCGACCCGGAGTTGGCAAGCCACCCTTTTCCGGTCGAGAACCATGGTCTCAGATTTGGAGGTGCTGATCCTCATCCCAGCCGCTTCACATTCGGCCGCGAACCTACCCAGCAAGAGCTGAAGGTCAGAGCTGGATGAAGCTAGGAGGACCACATCATCCGCAAAAAGCAGAGATGAGATTCTCCTGCTACCAAACTCGACACACTCCACACCACGGCTGCGTCTAGAAATTCTGTCCATAAAAGTGATGAACAGAACCGGTGACAAAGGGCAGCCCTGGCGGAGTCCAACCCTCACTGGGAACAGGTCCGACTTACTACCGGCTATGCGGACCAAACTCACGCTCCTCTGGTAAAGGGACTGAATGGCCCTTAACAGAAAGCCACCCACCCCATACTCCTGGAGCGTCCCCCACAGGGTGCCCCTGGGGACACGGTCATAAGCCTTCTCCAAATCCACAAAGCACATGTGGATTGGTTGGGCAAACTCCCATGCCCCCTCCATCACCCTTGCAAGGGTATAGAGCTGGTCCACAGTTCCACGGCCAGGACGAAAACCACATTGCTCCTCCTCTATCTGAGATTCAACTATCAATCGGACCCTCCTCTCCAGTACCTTGGCGTAGACCTTTCCAGGGAGGCTGAGGAGTGTGATCCCCCTATAGTTGGAACACACCCTCAGGTCACCCTTCTTAAAGATGGGGACCACCACCCCGGTCTGCCACTCCCTAGGAACTGCCCCCGATGACCACGCAATGTTGTAGAGACGTGTCAACCATGACAGCCCTACAACATCCATAGCCTTGAGATACCCAGGACGAACCTCATCTGCCCCCGGGGCTCCGCCGCTGTGTAGTTGTTTGACTACCTCAGCAACTTCTGCCCCCGAGATCGGACAGTCCATCCCCAGGCTTCCCAGCTCTGGTTCCTCCTCGGAATGCGCATTGGTGGGATTGAGGAGCTCCTCAAAGTATTCCTTCCACCGTCCGACTATAGCCTCAGTTGACGTCAGCAGCTCCCCATCCCCACTGTAAACAGTGTGAGCGAGTTGCTGCCTTCCTCTCCTGAGGCGCCGGACAGTTTGCCAGAACCTCTTTGGAGCCGATCGATAGTCTTTCTCCATGGCCTCCCAAAACTCCTCCCACGCCCGAGATTTTGCCTCGGCAACTGCCACTGCTGCACCCCGCTTGGCTATCCGGTACCTGTCTGCTGCCTCCGGAGACCCACAGACCAGCCACGCCCTGTAGGCCTCCTTCTTCAGCCTGACGGCTCCCCGAACCTCTGGTGTCCACCAGCGGGTACGGGGGTTGCCACCACGACTGGCACCGGCCACCTTACGACCACAGCTAGCAACAGCCGCCTCGACAATCGCAGAGTGGAACAAGGCCCACTCGGACTCAATGTCCCCCACTGCTCTCGGGACGTGGTCAAAGCTCTGCCGGAGGTGGGAGTTGAAGACCGTCTTGACAGGTTCTTCTGCCAGGCGTTCCCAGCAGACCCTCACTATGCGTTTGGGTCTGCCAGGTCTACGCGGCATGTTCCCTTGCCATCTGATCCAACTCACCACCAGGTGGTGATCAGTTGACAGCTCCGCCCCTCTCTTCACTCGGGTGTCCAAAACATACGGCCGCAGGTCAGATGATACGACTACAAAATCTATCATCGACCTGTGACCTAGGCTGCCCTGGTACCAAGTGTACCGGTGGGCATCCTTATGTTCGAACATGGTGTTCGTTATGGCCAAACTGCGGCTTGCACAGAAGTCCAATAACAAAACACCGCTCGAGTTCAGATTAGGTGGGCCGTTCCTCCCAATCACACCCCTCCAGGTCAAGCTGTCATTGCCCACGTGAGCATTGAAGTCCCCCAGCAGGACAATGGAGTCCCCTGATGGAGCACTATCTAGCACTCGTCCCAGGGACTCCAAAAAGGGTGGGTACTCTGAACTGATATTAGGCCCATAAGCACAAACAACAGTCAGGACCCGTTCCCCGACCCGAAGGCGCAAGGAAGCTACCCTCTTGTCCCCCGGGGTAAACCCCAACACACAAGCAGAGAGTCTCGGGGCTAACAAAAAGCCAACCCCAGCCCTCCGCCTCTCACCCGGAGCAACTCCAGCAAAGTAGAGTGTCCAACCCCTCTCCAGGTCTCGGGTTCCAGAGCCAATGCAATGTGTCGAGGTGAGTCCGACTATATCTAGCCGGTACCGCTCAACCTCTGCCACAAGCTCCGGCTCCTTCCCCGCCAGCGAGGTGACGTTCCATGTCCCAAAAACTAGTTTTCTTGTCCGGGGATTGGACCGCCAAGGCTCCCGCCTTGGTCTGCCACCCGATTCGCATTGCACCGGACCCTTCATGTTCCTCCTGCGGGTGGTGGGTCCACAGTTGGACGAGCCCATGTATCCGGTTCGGGCTGGGCCCGGCCGGGCCCCATGGGCGAAAGCCCGGCCACCAGGCGCTCGCTCACGGGCCCCAACCCCAGGCCTGGCTCCAGGGTGGGACCCCGGTAACCCTCCGGGCCGGGTACTCCGACTCTTCGTTTTAACCGCCATGAAAGATCCTTCGAACCGTTCTTTGTCTCACCCTTCACCTAAGACCAATTTGCCATCAATCAATTTATCCACTTAAAAATGTTCCTGACGTTGCTGCTCAACAATCACAAAGCTTTAAAACCCCCATGCTGCTGCTGCTTCAGGGAACAATATGTGTTATTCTTGTTCGTCTGTGAATGTCTCGTGTTCTTCTGGTCATTAAGCAGGGAAAATATCTAAATTTACTCACTTTAACGTCAATAATCCAGTTATAATCTAAGTTATTTCCAGATTTTTCTGTATCCATGTTTTTAAAGAAAAATGTTTAGTGTCTGAGCTGTTTTAGGCTTTAATCAATGTTACAGAGCCACTTTCGACAGTTTAGAGAACAAAACTGTGGAAAAGACCACAAATACCCTTAATTATAATCAAATGTTTGTGGTCATGAGTCTCTCACATCACTGTTGGAGAATTTTGTCTCTCTATTTCTGACAGAATTGTTAAAGACACACATGTTGGACGGTTTTCCAGCTTGAAGTGTCAGGTTAAAGGTCAAACATTGTTGTTTCAGAGTTTTCTGATGGAAAGCAGAATTCATGGTTACATCAGTTAAGAGGTTCGGGTCCTGATACAGCCCCAGATCATGACAATACCACCACTATGTTGGACTGCTGGTATGATGTTCTTTTGACATGTTCTTTTTACCAATAGTTCTGGAAAAAATGGTGTGTGGTTCATTTGAGACAGATCATTTTGTTCTTCTGGGTCTGCATGAGTTTGGTTTGGCTCTTTCGTTTGTACGTTTCTTCGTCACAAAACATGATGTGTTACTTTTTGAGCTCTTTAAAGCTTAATTTCCACTGCCCTTTTTGGCATGGAATGGGGAGGATTGGCTCCCTAATTTATCTGTCCCCATTGTAAAACCGGTCCAGACAACCCACGCCAGTCAGGGGACTTTTTGGGGCCCCTTCTGTTGTAGGTCCAGAAATTTCTGGAGAGGTATGGTTAGGGCGGAGCAACAACACAGTCCACGGATACGAGGACAGAAATACGTCACTACATGCAAAAATCAAAACAAACAGAGTTCTGTTGTTTATATTTTCATTACTTGAACATGAATGTGAGAAGATACCAGCAAGTGGCAAAAAGATTTGATCGTTTTCAAAGCTCTATACATTCTTCACCGTCATCGTGACAGTCCACCCTCAGGAGCAGCTAGACCAACTCAAATGTAATGGTCCGAGAGTCACTCAACAAAAGGACCTGGAAGCGCAAGGTCCGGTTAAGTTAGGACAGAAACAGCCGGAGTGGATTTTGTTTTGTTGTTTTTTTCAGAGTGGAAATGGGAGAAATTTACGGAGCAAGGCAGGCCTTTGGACTCAAGCCAAGCCAGCTTAATTTGTATCACACCTTACAACCGAATAAAACCGACCAAAGTGCTTCATAGCAATTAAAAACATTCTAAACAACACACAACATAAAATTTGATTTTCAAAAGAGACTTAAAACCAGACAGGGAAGAGGCCGGCCTAATACTAACGCATTCCAGAGCCTAGGGGGTGCTCAGTGACCGCACTCTGGAGTCACGCGTGGAGCTCGTGGGTAAGCATTTTGTTTTGTCTTTAGCTCTGTAGACCATTTATTGTAACACACAAAAAAAAATTGTGAATAGTTGCACAACTTATTTTTTTAAATCGCGCATGACGAGTCGTATATCCCCACCTGCTGACATGAGAGCCCAAACTGCAATAGAATTACTCTGATCCATACCTGTACACACCGCCGATGGTCACCCACGCCACACCTTACCAGACCTGGCGGTGGAAATTTGGCCTCAACCTCTGTCACATCAGACAGGTTCTACTGAGTTCCTCACAGGGATGCTTGACTGTGATTGTTTTCCTTTGGCCGTGTAGTCATCCAGTGGTGTCTCAATCATAAAAATGCTTTGTGGGGAAATATTTAACCACAGCTTGAATAAAAGCAGTAAATTAGGCGACCCTTCAAATGTAGTATGATGGTGTCACATCAGAAAAGCTTTATGCTTTAAATAGAATCGTTACTTTTGCGTAGAGGCATACGTTTTAATGGGGAAATATGATTACTTTTTCTTAGTTATAATAAGTTAGAATATTTTTATGGTCCATTCCAAACATGTTTATGAAGTTCTTTGCATAAAATCCCTCTTACATAAAACAATTTCATCATTTTCAGTACCCTCCAGAATGAGCCAATGCAGGGCTCTGTCACTTTAAGAAAACAAGCTTTGGGTGGCTACGCCCACCCATTCCCACTCAGGCAGCTCTAAACTTTGAGGTTCAGATACCAAGGAGGGGCTCAGAGTAGAGCCACAGCTTCTCCTGCAGGCACTACTTTCCCCATTTGTGACATCACAATTAGGGAGTTTTTGAAACAGCTTGTTTTACGTATATAGTTCCTAAAAGCAAACACTGACAGAAAACGGATGGATAGATTTATATTCATGTTCTGAGACTTTATAGAGGCAGTAGAGACCTACATGAAGACACAAAAGGATGCAAACGTTGATTTTTAGATATTATCTCCTTACAAGCTACAACAAGCAAACAGGAAATCTGATTGTTCATCACTTCTCGTAGCTTTGAAATACGTTCAAGACCATTATTTTACAATAAGCAAATTCAAAACACATCGAACTTTCTGTTTTCTTGTTGATAATCTATGGAGATTCAAAAGAATAAAAGCACCAAGGTGACATGGGTTCACCTTTTGACCAAGCAGCCCTGGTATACAGTATTCACAATTTCAAAGCCAAGCCTCACCACCTGAGCCAATTAGGGCCTTGGGAGCTGAATCCATCCATGTTGTCTATCGGTTCGGAGTCGGGTTGCCATTTGCATGTAACCCCAGTCTATTATCCTAATGTGCTGGTGTTCTGCATACAAATGGAGGCATTTATTTTGCTGCTCTCTGGCCTTCACCCTTCAAACGCTCACCTGACAGGAATCCAAATGTTCTCAGCTACTGCTGTCGCTCTGACTCAATGCTCAGGTCTCTCATTTGGAAAGCGTTAAGGGTCTCTGTGTTCTTGCACACAGACCACGCCGTTGGCTCAGCTGGGAAAAGAGTTAGTTGGTGAGGATTTGTCTGACTGCTCTTTGATTGGTTAGAGGCGACGTTGGAGGCCTGCAAGTTTCATGATTTACAATATTTATTGCTAAGTAATGGGGGGGGGGGGGGGGGGGGGGGCTTGTGCAACGCAGAGAACTCTTGTCTTGTTCAACAGCTTTTGTTTCCTAATGTTTAGCAAAATCATGAGGAACAACATGTACAAAAAGGAAACTGTTGGTGCAACTTATTTAACACGTTCAGCCATGAAGTGACGAAATCCAGTCGCTAATATACATGCAGACATTTCAAACACACACACTCTCACTGCTAGCCAGCTGTGTGGTAGGTAGCGTAAACGCAGACATAATTTACGACAGAGGTCTTACCGTTGTGCCCAGACGGTCACAGGGGTGAAGGGCTGGGTAGGAAGAAACTGGATCCATGTAGTAACTCATCACAGACGCTGTGGACAGGAGAAGCAGGGCCTGCTGAATGGATCAACACACAAACAGTCCAGGCTGGGTGGAATGGCCTATCTATCACACTGTTTACACTTTGTGTAGAGAGGAGCAATGAGGGAACAAGGAAGGAAAGAAACACAAAACTTGTGTTGAGTTTCAAAAACCTTAAACTTAATTTCCTCATTCGAAGGTAAAGCTGGGGTGAATGTAAACTCTAGATCTCTGTTTTTATTCAGTATCTTTTAATAAATGTTTTTCTAGCTTTGTTTTATCGTACTACTTCAGCCCAGCGGTACTGACGTCGTCTAATGGGCGAGGAGTATATTTAATATTGTATAAGTGAGTACAGAGAGCAGGAAAATATAATGTGAAGAACTGGACGAGTGTATGTGAAACACCTATTTGTTAGTTTTTATACATTTTCTGTAATCCTTGTTTGATTGTTACGTACGTAGAGAAATCTTTGAGTCTTCATTTACATTCATTTTGCTAAGAGCTGTGTAATACTTAACATTCTCATGTGTGTGATAATAAAGGCGTAGTCTACTCAATGCTATTCTAAACGCATCATAAAGCACTTTGTAAAACTGAGTAAAGACTCTTGTGTTTGTTTTTAATATTCTGTCAGGATGTGTTATCTACAGGAGCTTCTGTGTCATCTCGTTCCCGTGCAGCCTCTGTGATCGGCCGATCGGTAGGAATGGGTACAAAATGTGTTTGTTGTTTTTAAGGCACCAACCGAATTCTGTGGTACTGACTGAGGACCGATTCACGTGATATGAAACGGTGCCTTGTTTCGGTACCATAGAGTTTGGTACCTTTCCTTCATTAATAAGAGCTTGCGAGACAGCGATTTGCCAAGATGGCCAGCAGCTCGAGAGCATTATGTTGTCAGTCGCTGCGGGCGAGCTGTAAACAAGGCAGCGTGGTAAAAAGAAAGCGCTCTAAAGTTTGGGTCCACTTCACTAAATGCGATGGGTGACTGAAGTGAGGCATCATCATCTTAATCTGCTCCAGCAGGTAAGCAAACTGTTTAAGATAATGTGAGCTTGATACTTTAGCCTAAAGTATCTTTCTGGAGTTTTCCCCTTTCATAAATTACGTATGATTTGTTATAAATCCGTAAAAGTGATTATCTTATTTTAATATGATGTGTGCAATACTTCATTTATTTTATTTTATTTATTTTTTGCTAAGCACGCCCTCTGCCCTGCAGAGCTCCATGCAATAGGAAACTGAGCGCCGACCAGAACTAACCAATAGTGTTAGACTACCGCTTACTTGCTTCCAAGTTAAGGAATACCTCGGCTGATGCAGAGTTGATTAACTTTTCACGGACAAGTAGTCTCTAAAATGTAAATATATGAAAACACAACATGACATGAGAATAATACTCGTAAAACAGCTTGTTTTAGCTCTGTCTGTTGGCTACAGAAGCACATTTATAAACAGAAACGAGAAATCAAAAAACAGAAGGAGTGTGATATGCTTGTCAGCCACTAGATGGCGTCATCGGATAAGATAAATACTCCAGAAAGAAGCTTTAAATTGCTATCAGCTAATGGCGTGTTCGCTTTCTCCTCGGTTCTCGGAAATTCTGACTTCTGGGTAGAAAGAAGTGACTGTTCAAAAGGAATGAAGATAGACGGTAAATTTAATTCGCAGCAAAGACGTTTGCTTTGCAGTTTAAAAAAAACTACAAAGACCCACCATCACACAGTTAGTCCAGACGGGAATGCAGAGGATTAGGAGTACATGGATCTGGGTTTAGTTTGCGAAACACCACTGTATTAAAATACAAATAGGTGTTTATCAAAGTTTGTTTTAGATTCATTTGTAGTTTATAATACTCCTCATCTTAGTTATTCCAGAGGGCATGGAAGAGGAATGGAAGTCCATGGAGCTGGGTACCTGGTACCGAATTGATTCAAATGTGAACGGCATCCATCCCTACCGATCAGTGTTTGCTAGTTGTTGTCAGTGGTTGCCCTTAGACTGTAGAATGATCTGCCCCTAGAGACAAGACAAGTCCCTTTTCTCAATGTTTCTACGTCTTATTTCTATGTGGCTTTTGGATCTGTGACTCGGTCACAGATACTCTTTTAATGTTGTCCTGATGTAACTTTTATTACTATTTGGTATTTCAATTATTATAAATCATTTGTATTTTTTTTATTTCATTAAAAGTTATTTTCATCTGATTCTGAAGCATCCTCCGATCTTTCCCTCATTACTCACTCATAGAGCCCACTTCTTCCTCCTACCCCTCCTCCTCTTCTTCTCCTTTCCTTTCCTCTCCTCCTCCTCCCTTCACCACTTCACTAACACTGAGCGGTAGGAGCTGCATCAACAAAAGGACACTAGAAACTAAACAGCGAGATTACATCGGCGGATACATGGCGTAGCCTACATGGGCAGCCTTGCATCTTTCTCGCATTCATATATGAAACATTTTGGCATTTCTAGATTGCGGCAGGCAGCTGCTGACAGGCGGAGGAGAGATGCGCCATCAGCGCTCAATGCGTACAGATGTTCAGCCGCTCAAAAAGACTCAGATGCTCTTCTTTCAGGGGGAAAAGTGCCCATTGAGTGAATCCAACTCAAATTACTTCTTCCATTCAGATGCTTACATCATCACCTTGTGCTTTTTTAAATCCAACCGATCTGAATGTGTAAATAAATCCTTCAGCATGTTGACTTTTCAGATTTGCTGTGATCTCGTTTTATTAAGAAAAATCTGGAACCCACGAGTTATTTGAAAACGAGACAATAATTCTGAAACAACAGTTTGTGGGTTTTAATGAAAAAGATTTTTTGCGACAAATAATTAAATTAGATCTAACGTGGCGCGTCTTGGGACAGTCTCCTGGAAGCGCACTGCTCTTAAGAATTCTTGTCGGGAAAAACTGAAACTTTCACACAGTAAACACAAGAGGAAAGGAAACATTGTCCTTTAGAAGTCGGGAAATGGAATACAGCAGAGTTAAAGTCATAAAAGTTCGCACTTACCGACTGGAAACTTTCCTGCAGTGCTGGAAGCGCCGGTCAGCCGAGCGGTGGACTTGCAGAAGATGCTGTACCTGCGCGCTGCGAGCCCCGCAGAGGAAGAAATATCACGCACACACTTAGTCCCTCCCTCAATCTCACGGTGATCCTTCTCCAAATCCCATTTTCCGTGTTGTTTTTTTGGGTTCCTCATGCATGCGCACATGCAGCCACAGAACAGGTGGAGGAACTCAATCCTTCATTAATTCGCTTTTCTTAATGTTTCCAAACACTGCTGTGCGTCACTGACGCAACAGGAGACTCGTGTATTCCAGTGAGTCAATTCAGTAACTTTAAAGGTTGAAAAGGTGTTCGTGATGTTTCATTTCTGAGTTTATTTTTTTATTTTTTTATTGATTATTTAGTTGTTTTTGTGTTCCTCTTCTGGAATCTTTGAGGAAAAATAGCAGGAAGGAGGAAAGGAAGCATCCCATGGAGAGGCTGTGATGGAGATCTTCCTGCTATATTATAATCCTAACAACAATAAGCAGAGTAGGTGTTTTAGAGGATCAAACAGGCATATTTCTCATCTTGTTCTTTTAGAAATTGGGAATCAAGCAAAGCTGTGATTTTCTCAGTTCCTCCTCATTCAGATGCTTCTGCAGTTTGTTGACTGATGATGACCGATTCTCACACACCTCCTCCTACTAACTTCACTCCTGATACTGATTAAACCAAATGAAGTGGAGGTCGACTGATGTTGTGTTTTTGCCAATACCCATGCCGATATGAGGCAGACATGGTCACCTGATGGCTGATACTGCTGATTTTTATGGGTTGATTTCCATGGCCGATATCTAGACATTTTCCACCTTATTTGGGGCGACGGTGGCACAGGAGTTAAGTGCTCGCCCCGTAATCAGAAGGTTGCAGGTTCGAGCCCCGCTCAGTCTGTCGCTGTCGTTGTGTCCTTGGGCAAGACACTTAACCCACGTTGCCTGCTGGTGGTGGTCGGAGGGACCGGTGGCGCCTGTGCTCGGCAGCCTCGCCTCTGTCAGTGCGCCCCAGGGCAGCTGTGGCTACATCGTAGCTCATCCTCACCAGTATGTAAATGTGTGTGTGAATGGGTGAATGACTGATTGTGTTGTAAAGCGCCTTGGGGGGTTCCAGGACTCTAGAAGGCGCTATATCAAATGCAGGCCATTTACCATTAATTTTCATGCAAATTTGTCACTAAAGGCATCAGCTGATGTACAACATTTCTGAAGCTGAATCAGTTTTTCAACTGATGAATAACTTTGCGCACTGCTCAGTGTAAAAGTCAGTCACCTAAATAAAGCTAGTCTACAGTCTTTATTATGCAGGTGTTATCTGTGAATTTAAAAATGCATTTAAATCAAATTCTGCAACAGCATTGGGCTGCTCAAGAATGTGCCTGACTTTTAATCGGCTTACATCGGCCGAGTGATAAATCGGTCTACCCCTACTCTAAAGTTCTTCTCTGCAGTTCTTTCTCATTGATCTGCACATCTCAGGCTCCTAAATCTCTTTACTGCATGGTTTTTAGTGCATGGTGTGGTTTCCTCGCCCTACTCCCCCTTTATCGGCGCAACACTCAACACTTGCGAGTGATCTGAAACACCTTGTGGCTCCATGATAATTCTCTGACCCCAGAGCAACATTTGTTTGAATTAGAAAGTGCACGGTTCAAACCTCCTGATACCTGCTGCTCTTAACAGTAAATCTTCCGTCTGGGGTAAAGAGGTGTGTGTGTGTATGTGTGTGTGTGTGTGTGTGTGAAGGGCTCAGGAGGGAGGGGGTGGGTCAAACCCAAGGTGAGAGGCGTGAAGAAGTACCATGAGGGGCTCTGCTGCTAGCAGGTTGCATTTTCTCAACCTCTGAATCCCTCTGCGATCCCGTGGGGTTCAGCACCCTCCCTCCTCCTGAGTTAGAGGGTGAGGGACGCAGCTGGGCAACACGTAGAGGGCAAAAGGCGAGGGCATGACTTATTTTCATGTGGAGTGGAAAGCGCCCCTGCGATCAGCCCAAATTGAATAAAAGCGAGACTCAATGTGATCCAGATCTTAAAGCGATGCCCCAGCAATGCTGTTTTAATTAGCAGGCTCACCAGTTCAAAGGCGAGGCCCCTGGTACTATCATCACATCGGCCCCTGCCTTTCACCTCCCTATTACGGTGCCATCTTTTCCCGCTCAGCGTTGATGTGTGTCTGTCGGCGGAGCTTATGTTTTACATTAAACAGAGAGCAAGAGCTTAACCAGACAAAAGCATCCGAGCTGGAGAGCTTCATGTCTTTGAATCATTTAGTACAAACTCCTCCGTCGACAGTGTAGCTCAAGAGCAAAAGATCTCAGGTCTCATTCATTTGACAAAAAATGGTTTGCAATCAAAGACAGTAGAAAACAAATCGCAATTGGAACTTTGTGTGGAAGCTGAAGCTTAAAATAACGATGGCGTTCACCCCTGAAAGTCCTGCTCCCTCTAATGTAAATAAACGAAGACACCTCAGTCCGGTGGTGTTTTTAATGGTTTACTCAGCTCATACCTTTTAAATATTCAGATATTAGTTTTTAGAGTACAGCGCCTGGCCAAAAGAAAGAAGATTTGAGTTAGCCAATATAGGAACAAGCCTGTTGGATAATTACTGCATGGGCTGGCAACAAGTTATTTAACCCCAACTGATACAATGAGTTGCTTCTCTTTCTTAAATAACTATGTGGAAAGACACATCTGGTGGCCGTGGAGAAGGTGTTAGTCTGTTTGAGAAGGGTCAGATCATTAGCATCAAGTAGAGGAAACTTCTAAGGAGATGCAGAAATGACTAAATCTGGGTTAAGAACTGTCCAACGCTTTGTTAAAAAACTGGTATGATGAGTCCAGATGGACTCTGCTCCAGAGTGATGGTGCATCAGGGAAAGAAGAGAGGCAGATGAAGTGATGCACCCGTCATGCCTAGTGCCTACTGTACAAGCCTGTGGGGGCAGTGCTATGATATGGGCTTGCTGCAGTTGGTCAGGTCTAGGTTCAGCAACAGGATGTGCTCCAAGAATGAGGTCAGCTGACTACCTGAATATCCTGAATGACCAGGTTACTCCATCTTCCCTGAAGGCACGGGCATATTCCTAGATGACAATGCCAGGATTCATCGGGCTTAGACAGAGAATGAGTGGTTCAGGGAGCATGAGACATCATTTTCACACATGGATTGGCCACCACAGAGTTCAGACCTATACCCCATTGAGAATCTTTGGGATGTGCTGGAGAAGGCTGTGTGAAGCGGTCAGACTTCACCATCAATGCAAGAAACATTAATGCAACACTGGATGGAAATAAATCTTGTGACATTGCAGAAGCGTATTAAAACAACGCCGCAGCGAATGCGTGTAACCTAAAGGCGGTCCAACAAAATATCTGTGTGTGACTTTCTTCTTGGCCAGGCAGTGTATGTTTAGTTAAAATTAATTATTTAATGTTTAAAAACCTCAAGGACACCACTGAGGGTGCAGAATTGACTGTTCAGAGCATTTTGTTAAGATAAGTATCAACTGACAATAAATATAAAGATATTTGGTTTTCTTGTGCTGGAACAAATTATAGTTGGGGGTAATTTTTGTGGGTTTGAAGCTGAAAAGTTTGGAAACTATTGGTCTAATTCAGTGTTTCCATTGGGGTTTTTGTTTTTGACTTATAGTTTATGGAACTGTTCAAGTTGTTTGCTTCCTTGATGAATTTCTGTCATCTCCGTGTTTTATCTAAATATACAGACCCGACAAAGCTGCTGTCTGTCCTCCGCTTTCACTGAGCTCCTCCAGACTGCAGATTCTTTTGTCTGATTGTCTCATTTTCTCATTTTGGATCTTCCAAAGATAGCGCTGACAGGTGATATTAATGGTCTTTTATTAGCATTATCCCGATTGCTGCAGATTTTTTGGAAGCACAAGACAGAGGGAAAGAGCAAGAGGGAGGCAAAGAGGAAGAAAAGAAAATGGAAGTCCTCCACCCACTACTTCTCACAGGAGATCGCCTCTCTCTTTGATAGCCTGCCCGAATCTGTTCCCCCCAAAGAAACTGCCCTGCAGATGTTATTGCCGTATGCCGACTACAAAGAAAGGAGCCCTTTATGAGGAGAACATCTATTTTTGGGTCTCAGTCAGTGTTTCCGAGTCGTGGCGCTCAGCAAGAGGAAGCCTCGTCTTTTCTGCCGCTGAAAACTCTGTTTTATTCCCTGCCCAGGATATTTTTAGATTAAAGCCAAGCTTTAATGAATAAAGTGAGGATGCAATATTTTATGGCAGTATCAATATTCCGCCGCTGTGGTGAGTTTGGGTCTGAAACAGTCCACGTTGCTGTTGGCACGAGCAGGGAGGAAAGGGGCTAAAATCAGGGCAAGAAGCTCCGTGGACTCTGGTTCTCGGAGAAGCCTTTGTATCGGTCCCGACTCGGTTCAATCACAAGTGCTGGTGGCTCAGACTCTCACACACACCCCCAGTCACAAAGCCGCGACTTTGCTGCACTGTTGACTGTGAGGCAAAGGTCTTGAGGGCAATATTAGCTCTTGATATTATTTTTAATTAAAGCTCCAATCCCTCAGCCAAGTTGTCCAAACAGATCTAAATAGGCCCTGTAAATCAGACAAACATCCTCCATATTTGATGGGCTGAGAGTGTGCACTATAGCCTCCAGATGGTTTGTGTTTCTCAAGTGTTTCACAAGGAGTGGTACGGGACAGCGATCTTCTGTTTGAGTGTTTCTCTTGACAGAAAGACTTCTGCCAAATCGCACGCTCAGCTTTTGGCCCTCGGCCAAGGTCGCCTCTTCTCTCTCTCTCTCTCTCTCTCTCTCTCTCTGTGAAAAAGAAGATCCATAAAATCAATAAATTGGCAGCAACAACTGTAATCAATCAGTGTCCAATCACTGTGAAGGAGTGTTTTCCTGCTTTTCTTTTTACAGTTGTACAATTTAGCAAACCTGGGTTATCCAGCATGAATGGCCAGTTCAAGATGAAAGGTCGAGCATTGTCCTCCATGAGAACAGAAGTCATGGTTTCTATGTTATGTAAAACAAGTGGTCCTAAAGCAGCAAATCAGCCCCAGACCATCACACTACCACCACCATGTCTAAAGCCTAATTTATACTTCACCGTCTGCGTCGGGACTGACGCACGCAATGCCATTATCCATCCTTGCGAGCCTGCTGGAGAGCCCTCGCAAGAACGGCCGGAGTCGAGCTCTCTTTTCTAAACATCCATCCATCTAAACCGAGAACACAAGCTTGTGATTGGTCAGGATGCCGCTGTT